AAAAAACGAAGAAAACAAAATAGCTTAAAAAAACAAAGCAAAAAGAAAAGAAAAAGAAAAAAACAATAAAAAAAGACAGTTAAGTGTTTCACTATTGATTACACTTAAAAAAATTAATTAAAAAGAAAAATAAAAAAATTCAGGTTAATTCTTCAAATCCGGAACCTGTATCATGAGAATTTAATAACTAAATAGAAAAAAATTAACATTAACAAAAAAAATTGAACAAAAAAACATTCAATAAAAAAACAAAGAAAAAATAAAAAACAAAGAAAAAAAACAGACAACTCAGCATTTCAGTGTGGACTTACACAGTGAAACACTGAGCAGTTTTAGCTATTGTTATAATTTAATAACTAAATAGAAAAAAATTAAACAAAAAAATTCATTAAAAAAAACAAAGAAAAAAGAAGAAAATAAAAAATAAATAAAAAACAACTTAAAAAAAGTAAAAAAAAAAAAACTAAGCATTTCACTATAAACTTGCACAATCAAGCATTGAGCAGTTTTAGCTATTGTTATAATTAATTATGCGTCCATGCGATGTTACAAGTGTATGACATGCTTGAATTGTGTTATAGATTTATAGAAAAAAAAAATTATATGAAAAAAATTGTTATAATTTATAATATTTTTAAGAAAAAAATTATAATATTAAATTCTTAACTAATTTAATATTAAAAAAATAAAATCAATAAATGTTTTTTGGAAACAATCATAACAAAAAAAAAACAGAAAAATATTGTAGCAACCTATAATATTTCATGAGAAAATTTATAATTGTAATTCTTAATTAGTTCAATATTAAAAATAATAAAATCGATAAAGATAATTTTTTAAAAAAATCATAACAAAAAAATCATGTAAGGAAACACTATAGCAATCCACAATGTTTAAAAAAAACTACAAAACTAAAATTTTAACTAACTCAATATAAAAAAATAAAAAAAAATTCTAAAAAAATAAAAAAAAAATCGTAAAACAAATACATAAGAAAACACTGTATCAATCAATAATATTTTTTTGTTTTTTTAAACTATAAAGCTAAATTCTCAATCAGTTTTATATTAAAAAAAAAACAAAAACAATTCTAAAAAAACATGGAAAAAAGATTTTGAAAAAAAAACAAAAAAATAGAAAAAACGTGTTTGAAAAATTAAAACTAAATTTTTAATCAGCTCAATATTAAAAAAATTCGACAAAAATAATTGTCAAACATGTTAGCAAAAATTGTAGAAAAAAAAACTATATAAGAAAATATTGTAACAATTCACAATATTTTAAATAAAAAATTTACCAAATAAAATTTTTAACCAGCTTAATATAAAAATTTTTTGATAAAAATTATTTTTTGAAAAAATTAAAATATTAATAAAAATATAAAGAAATATTATTATAATTCATAATATTTTTTTAAAAAAATTATAAAATTAATTTTTAATTAGTTCAATATTAAAAAAAAATCATCAAAGATACTTGAAAAAAACACCAAAACAAGAAAAAAAAGAAGATAATCTTGGGGAAAAAAACCTGTAAAACCCAAGAAAAAGAGAAAAACAAAAAAAAAAGGAAAAACAATATCAATATATATATATATATATATATATATATATTGTGTGTGTGTGTGTGTGAAGAAAACTACAGATATTTCCCGTGTTTTAGAGTATTAGTTAATACCATTGTGCCAACTTTAGAATCAAGGAAGAGGGAGCATTGAAAATGGGATATTTTGTATAACTAGAGACTAGACATGGCTCATTTACTTTGCGAGATCATGGCACAACTATGTCCCGTGATATTTGCAGAGGTCAAAACAACGATCGACAGTAAGCTTGTTCATTTGTGTTCTCTTCCTTGATGTTTAGTTACAGTACAAAGGATATGATTCCATGTGGATTATCTACGGCAGGTAGAAAACCTGCTTTTAGTTGAATTCTTCTCCAAGTTCTGGAGCATCAGGGCCCCATCTGGTTTTAGACCGCTCTTGCCCATTTTCATGTGCAGCTTCTTTGCTAATTCAGTCTTGCCTCTTAAACACATTCCATGGATTGCAGCACTGTAGAGGCAGACATCTGGTGCAACTTGCTGCAGATGAAACGAAATTTATCAGTTATTTCTGAACCATTTGCAATGCTATAACAAGAAAAGGTCCAGATACAAAGGTCATTCATCCATGTCAGCTCTGCACGTTAGTTTGACAGAAATTTTTTGAAAGACCAAATTTTGCACTTGGAATTTAGCTGTAAATTATATAAGCGTCCAGACTGGACCAACAATTCACAGAAATTCTTTTTTTCTTGTTCGTTAATTATCACAGCTACAAGGGTAAAATATGATATTGATAAGGAACTAAATTATTCTGCTCCATCTACAAAGGATATTCAATACAAGAAATTGACTTGCAAAACTTTTATGAAACTAAAATTCGGTAAAGCTAAGCAGCTCATCTTTTATGCTCCTGATTCCTTAACAGAGTCCAGGTTATGTGAATAAGTTTATCTAGAGTGAATTCAGAGAAATGCACGGAGTTCATGAAGAGTGAAGGCTTGAAGACAGATTAGATTAATCTTTGTATGCAATTGTTTTCGAGCACAAAAAAGATAGAATGTTCAGAAATAAACTTACATCTAGTATTTCCTCCACCTCATCCCAAAGAGATGCCCAAATGCAACTTCTTATCAACGACAAATAGGTAAATGTGTCTGGACGGCACTGCTGGTGAACCATGTGCTCATAAACTTCCAAAGCAACTTTTGGCTTTCTAGCAACTTCACAAGCACCAATAACAAGATTATAGGATGCTGTTGAAACTGAATGCCCAGAAGCTTCCACCTGCCATACAAGCTGAAGAGCTCTATCCCATAAACCGAGTTTCTGGCATGACATCAAAGCAGTGTTGTATAAATGTTCATTTAATAGAGAATTTTGTTCTCTTTTTAGTCTCTCGAAGAGCTGAAGAGCATCAACATGTTGATTTGCCCTGCATAGACCACTGAGCAATGCATTCCATGTGTACTCATCAGGAGCATGACCCAAAGACTTGAGAATTTTAAAGACCTTAGATGCTAGTTTGATTTCCCCTGCTTTCCCAAGTAAATTAATCAATGCATTACATGCAATAAGATTTGGCTTCAGCCCATGATCCAACATATTTTGGAAGATATTCAGAGCCAAGACCCAATTTCCCTTCTTTGAACATGCACCAATAACAGCATGCATAGTATCCCCTCTTGGTTTCAAACCATTTTGAACCATTTCGCTGTAAGCTTCAAGAGCTAGCTCATTCCGACCACAACGAACAAAAATGCTAACTAACAGCGAGTAAGTAACTTGTGTTCCATGATAGTCATTTTCCTTCATGCTTCTCCATATTCTTTCAGTTTCATCCCAATTTTTCTCCTTGCCACAAACAGATATCATTGTGTTATAAACAATTACATCAAAATCCTTCTTCTCTCTGGAAAATGCTTCCAATTCAGCAAACATATCAAGTGCTGAATCACAACCCTCGGTACTTGCAACTACTTTCAGTATTAAGCTACATGCATGACCTGTTGTGATCTCATTTTTCTTCATGTACTCAAAAACTCTCAATGCATCTTCATGCAGTTTGTGTCTTATAAGGCAAGAAAGAAGAGAGTTACAAGCATGTCTGTTAGGCTGGAGGCCTGAGAATTCCATGGACCTAAGCAACTGCAGTGCACTTCTAAACTTGTTAGATCTACTGAGCATCAAAATTCTTCTTGATAACTCATTTTCATCAGTTTCCTCTAAAAAATGCACCCTACTTTCATTCACAGCAGCCCTATTGTTTATAAGTGATGGTGAATGAATTTTTTCATTATTAATATCTGATCCCTGCTGAAGTGGCAAATTGTGTCCACAAGAATCCATGTCAAACTGGTCTTTTCCACTCTCAGCCAAGTCTTGTTCTTCCTTTACATTAGAAAACAACTCAGAATTGTCACTGACAATTCCCCAAGGAGGTAATTTCTGTCCAAGAGGATCCGTATCAAATTGGCCTATTCCTCTTCGAACCAATTCTTTTTGTCTGTTATCTTCGGAAACCAACTTAGATTCATTACAAGCTACCACGCCTGATACAGTCAGCGAATTTCTCATTGTAATGGACCCGAATTGCAAACCCGTCTGAGGCATCTTCAATCGAACACTTCCAAACCAAGTAAGGCCCTTCATTGACACGGAAACCACATTGAGCTCACATATTCCCGCATGAATTTTCCTTGTTTTCATAGCTGAACAACCATATCCACCGCAGCAATAACTTCTACAACAATTTCTATCTTTACCATTGTTTGGAAAATACATACCCTTTTGACAAGCAAGCCCATGCCATTTCATGGTAACTAGCATTGAGTTCCTCAACAATTCTCCCGTAACTGAACTAACATAACATAAAAAAGAAATATGCAAATATTCACTTCAATCTAAATCCTCTAAAACAAGAATAAACCAACTTGGAAGCATCCCAATTCCATCACACACACACACACACTATACAATCCTTTTCATAAAAAAAAGGAACTATCTTTGCTTCAAAATACTAAACCACCAGCAAAGGGAAACTACTTTCATGTAAAATACTAGAAAGTTTCGAAAATATCAAACCCACAAAAGTTAACTACTTGGGCACTTACAATACTTCAACAAGAGTAAGAAATGAAAAAGCTATGAAGCTTTCAGAAACAACCAAATGGAGAAGACCCAGTTCAGTCGCAAGTCCTGATCTTATAAAGCACTAAAGTGAAAAGTGAAAATAGCTTTAGAAAGAGAATAGCTTTAGAGAGGGAGAGAGAGAAAGAGGGGGGGTGGGGGGTCGGACGAGGAGAAGGAGAGGGAGAAGATATACAGGATTATCTGAACTTATAGATTATTGTATAAAGAGGCAAACGGAGCCGTTTTATAGAAGGAATATTCAATAACCATGTTAAACGTCATCGTTTTGTTCCTCTTTGTATTTCATTTTCACCTTGAAAAAAGCAGCTTGCTTTTAACTGCTGGGACTCCTTCGTTAACAAAACAAAGCAAAACCCTGTCTTTGGCCATAGCAGAAAAGAGAGAATCGATTGCAAGAAAAAAGGGCCAGTCTTTTTCTTCTCGTAAAGAAGTTTTAGCTGATGGGTAAGGTTCATTTTCTTTTTCTTTTCTTTTTGGAAATTGTTTATAGTTTTATTTCTGCTTCTAAAGTTTATTTATTTATTTATTTTTACATGCAAAGCATGTTTTATAGCAGAGGAAGGAGGGGGAGAAGAACTGTTTGAAGTGGAATCATCAAAGAGTGAGAAAGTGGAGGCGGTGAAGGAAGGAGTGGCTTCTATAGCATTATTGCCATCTGGGTCCATTTCCGGTCACTTCATTCAGCTGCCCCACTCCATTTGCTATGGTCTTCATGGCACTGGTACCCCTAATCCCCACCTCACTATGTATATGGATGTGTTTAAATGTATGTTTATGCCTAAGTGGGTCAACGAAGTGTTACCGGTCTGGAAAAAAAAAATGGATGCAAGGTCTGTACTTGAACTATGGACAGGAAAAGAGAAAAACAAACCAAAGTTTCAAGTCTTTTATCCGCCAGAACTTTGGGTGCGAGGGAATATTTGGAACTTGGAAGAGTGTTATTAGTCAATAATATTTATTTCTCAAATTGTCTTATAGTATTACTACAAATTGGTTTTCATGGTGTTGTTTGCGAGAAATTATAGATGCATCAGCGAAAATTAGTGCTTTTAGAGGTCTTCATTTACAGTGTATAAAGATGCTAAAAATTATACGAAACATGTCTCTTAATAGTTGGTTCTTGCTAATTTCTCTTTTCTATTCTGGCTGATTTGTGAAAAGACGAAAAAGAAGAACAAGTTATTTTCTTTTATGATTCATGCGGGAAGAAACTAATACTATTTAGAATTGTAAAGTCACACTGAAGCTTTTGGTTATTTGAATGCACATTCTGGCTTAAATTATATTGCTGTTAAGACTTTCTGGCAGCTCCATATGTGGTACTAACATTCCAAATTCATTTGATGCTCTCGATCACTCATTGCACTACCTGATGGTAGTCACCAGTCGCACCATAGTGGAGTCCTGCGTTTGAACTTGCAATGATGATATAAATTATAACCTATAAATTATGAGAAGGAAATGTATACATGTGACATTCTGAGTGTTTTGACATTCAAATAACAAGTGAATCCAAGTGCTTACACGTGCTGGGGAGATATTTTTTCATGACCTGGTCTATTAGATCAAATGAATCATGTTGGGGCATATCAGGTTGGACATATTACCATTGATGTGCCAACATGATTGATTTGTACAAAAACTGAGTCTATGTAATAATTTCTCCTGCCTAGAATGTTTCTAGATCTTAGAAATTTGCTTAGTGGCCATCTTCTGTAAGAATTGATGTAAAAATATCTTTCCATAAAGACTTACTTTTGATATGTTTCCGTGAATTATTTTCCTATTCTAAACTAGTTCTTTTATGGTGAAAAGAATTAGCTTGTGAAAGGGAGTGTAGCAGAGGAGAGGATTATCGCCTGATCAAACTTACAATTGTTGACTTCAACGTATGGCGTGTTTGTTTCTTCGTTTTCCTCCTGTAATTCGTTTCCCTTTTCTGGGCTGTTGTAACCACCCTTTTGTTTGTTTCGGTTGTCTCTAATTTATAACAGAGTGGGAAAGAACAAGCTGTTGTAGTTGAGTGTAAAGGCCATGATGCTGCTCGATTCCATAATGTTGATCAAGCTCATGGGTAAGCCATCTGGGATTTACTGTTAGTTTCAGATTAACATCTGAGATGGGAATCAGTTCCATTTCATGACTCCTTTCTTTTATTTACTTTTTTCTTTTAAAAAACAAACTTTCTGATGTTTTTAAGTTTGTTTTAACTCATGCAAATTTATTATCTTCTGTACTTGTGCTCCACAATTAGTTTGTGCATGCAAGTGTGACATGTTTCATCAATTGGATTATGGATAAAATGTCAATGATAAACCTCATCCCAGTAATTAGTGATTACTGATTTACACAAACTATATTCTGATTTACTTTTAGCAATTAATTCAAGTATAGTTCATAAACTACCATGTGTTCCTCAGAAATTATTGAATTATTTAAGCTGGATTCTGATAGCATTTTGTGACAGCTCTAATCACTCACTCCGACCTTGCTCCTAGATCCATCTCTTATTAAGAAATTGGGATTTGTTTCTCTGTTCAGATATAGACCCTCGGTGATGAATGATTGCACTAACATGTCATATGCTGTTTGTAACAGCTGGGAAAAGGATATTGTAGGTATGGTAGAAGAAAAGCATGGGAAGAAAAAGATTCATGTTTCATTTGAGTGTGAGACACTGAAAGCTGACAAAGCAGCTGAAGACCACATCAAGCAGTTCATGCCAAAATTGGCTGGGCTAGATGCTGTTGGTAATTTTTTTCTATCTGACCCTACTTCCCACTGGATAGTTTTTGAATCTTTTATTAGCCCAAGCAGTAAACATCAACCCCTATGCGGCATTACAAGAAATATGCACCATATTCAGCATTTAACTGTCTTTTGACTGATTCAGCCAAATAATAGTTTTGTTTGACGAGCAAAACAAACTTAGCTTGTGTTCATGTCAATTTCAACAGAAAAAAGTGTCACAGCATTTAAATGTCACAAAATTTTCTGATTCCATATCAAATTACTATTCACTTTCCAGAACAAGCTTAAATAATTTGTGATGCTTTAAAAGACAGTCAAATTCACTGCGTGTCATTTTTGCACAAGTGTGAGTCCTTGATCACTCTCATCCTCAATTTAACAGAAGGGACAGAATTATACATATTGAATTACGGTCATGGCAAGTTCCTTGGAACCCAAATGACGTATTGATTCTTATACTTGTTTTCACGTTGACATATGGTGTCCCAAACTTGGAACTTCTTTAAGTAATCTTACAGCATTTGGTTTACGCAAGGCGGTATGTGAACTGTTTAGAGCTTGAAAAGCCTTGTAAATCAACTTGCTGAAGTTTGAAATTGTGCAGTTAACATTGGGAGGATGAGCATTTCAGGATTGGACTTTGAAGCAGAGGATGCTGGTGTTAAGCAGACTATGATTCAATAGAGATATAACTCTATCCTTGTCTGTATATGCTACTTACTGCATACTATATGTTAATCTATGACAAGAAGCTAGTTAATCACATGCAGCTATACGTTTTTTGCGTTATCTTAAGATAATTAATTTAATGCTTGCTTATGCAACCAAGTTTATTGAGACAAGTCTTCTAGATCAAATATGGACTTTGAAACCAAGGCTTTGATGATTTACTGCTTCGTTTCTCTTTCGAAGAAGAACAAGATTTACTGCTTCAGTTCCTTAAAAAGTGATTATTAGATTGTTTTGTTTATCCTATTATTCATATCAGGGAAAACCATCCAGACATCTTGTAACTTGAGGGCTCTGTTAAATTTCGTTACCAATTCTTTTTACAGCTCGATCGGCTCGCTTTCAAATTGTGCCAATCTTGTGCACCATGAACAAATTCGGGGACAACTTTCTAAAGCGCAATTTAATTAACATCAGTCCTGTTCAAATGAACCCGGTATGCCGCATTAGGCTTTCTATCTTGGGGAGCTTAGGAATAGCCCTTAACGCCGCATCTCTTCGTAGACGCTCGTTGCATAGGGGAATGATGAGAAGGGCAAAAAGGTTGTCTGAACTCAGACAGTTCAAAACCCAACAATGGGGAGAAGGATCATTTTCTTTGTCAAGTCAACCTGAGCTCTTGTCCCTTCTGTGTCCAGTATCAATAGTAAACCAACTGGTTCGCTTATAAGAATTTGGAAAATGGCATAGCAGAGGAATCCATTTTCATATGGCAAAACTTAAATTCAACCAGAGGACAGGCCAGCAGCCCTACAATAAGAAGATACGCTAAATTCCTATTATTATAAATTATAATTATTGAAAAAAAAAACTAATAGTTATCAATGAATCCACTGCTCATTCCTACAGTGATTTCCCTTTTATTTGGTCCCTTATATTTTTTATGCTTTGGTCCTTCAATTTTTTTTCTTCTTTTTTGATCCTTTTTTTATGCTTTGGTCCTTCAATTTTTTTCTTCTTTTTTGATCCTTTTACATTGCTTTGATTTGATGATTTGTTCTTATGCGTGCATATGAGAATCTCAAGGTGTCGAGGAAATGTATCACACGGTTAATTCCCAATTTCAATTTAATTAATTTAAGATAATTAGACCTTCAAGAACCACATTTGAAGCTTAAAGGAATATCCAATCCCTTTTTTTGGCTAACATCATGGATTGATTTTTACGGTCAATGGGGGGTTCATGTTTCTTTTTTTTTCAATTTCAGTTTCTGAACTTTTTTTTCCTTTCAAATTGATCCCTTCATGTTGGCTTTACTTGGGATTTGACTAGTTTGTTTTAATTGCTTTGATACGGAGATCTTGCAATACTGAGGGAAATGTTTTAGTTCAGTTGATGCTTGTTTTTATAAAATAAAACAAAATTCAGCTTATTTAAAATAATTAAGTGTTAAGTGATCAAAATAAAAATTAAAAAAAATATATATGGGGAATGGAGTAAACAAGCAGGTCAAATAGGCTAATAGATATAACGAACTTACCAATGGGTGGGAGGTGTCCATAAGTTTCAAGCAGTCATGAAGAGTTTCGAGTGGTCAAACAATGATTTTCATAATAGCATTGGAAGTGTCACCCCATGCTCCCCCCCTCCTTTTCTTTTTCCTCTCTTCAGGAATCACACTAGTCTACGAAAATTAGAAGATGTTGTCATTTTTTTTATATCAAATTTAATTTTTATTCTTGTAATTATTATTTTTTTATTTTTTTTAATTGATTTTTTTTCAATTTCATCTCTCGTATATTTAATTTTATTTTATTTTTATGTCAAATTTAATTTTCATTCTTTTAATTATTATTTATTTTGTTTTTTATCTTTTTTTATTATTTTTTCAATTTCATCTCTTAATATTTTATTGATTGTAAATTTAATTTTGTATTTTTTATGGAATTGTCTTTTATAAAATTAGTCAATGCCTCATGACATGATTTACTAATTTAGAAAATTAGCTTGAGTTGACTTAAAAAAATTTTAAATTTTTTTATTTTAATTTTATTTTTAAACATTGAGTTAATTAATAATTAAACTTTATGTTTTTTTTATTTTTTTTCCAGTGAAATCGTTCCGGTTGTTTTTTCATTATCTTGTTCAGATTGAATCTTTTTTTTTTTTTCAGTTATGTTTTTCAATATTTTCAAGCAGTCATGAAGAGTTTCGAGTGGTGAAACAATGATTTTCACAATAGCTTTGGAAGTGTCACCCCATGCTCTCCCCCTCCTTTTCTTTTTCCTCTTTTCAAGAATCACACTAGTCTACGAAAATTAGAAGATGTTGTCATTTTTTTATATCAAATTTAATTTTTATTCTTGTAATTATTATTTTTTTTGTTTTTTTGTTTTTTTTAATTGATTTTTTTTTTCAATTTCATCTCTCGTATATTTGATTTGATTTTATTTTTATATCAAATTTAATTTTCATTCTTTTAATTGTTATTTTTTTGTCTTTTATCTTTTTTTTTATTTTTTCAATTTCATCTCTCAATAATTTATTGATTATGAATTTGATTTTGTATTTTTTATGAATTTGTCTTTTATAAAATTAGTCAATGCCTCATGACATGATTTACTAATTTAGAAAATTAGCTTGAGTTGACTTCAAACTTTTTTAAATTTTTTTATTTTAATTTTATTTTTAAATATTGAGTTGATTAATAATTAAACTTTATATGTTTTATTTATTTTTTTTCCAGTGAAATCATTTCAGAGTCATGAGTTTGAGTTTAATGAGTTATCTAGGTTTATTTGGGTTGTTTTTTCAATATCTTTTTCAGATTAAATCTTTTTTTTTCAGTTATATTTTTCAATAGTGTCATCTTGGATTTTTCAATATCTTTTTCAGATTGAATCTTTTTTTTTCAGATTGAATCTTTTTTTTTTCAGTTATATTTTTCAACAGTGTCATCTTGGATTTGAATTTGTTATTTTATTCAATTTATTTTTTAAATTATCTTAGTTTTACAAGTCTCATATTTATTTTATGTTATTTAGAATGAGTTTTATTTTTTATTCAATTTACTTTTTACAAAAAAATTAACTACCTTGAACAGTCTCAATTTAGTTCTTTCATTTTTTTAATTTAATTTTATTATACAATATTTAATTTGCTAAAAATTAAACTTTAACTTTCTTTATCATTTTATTTTATATGAAATTATGATATTTTCATTTAATTTTTAATCAGATACCTTATAAGAATATTAAGAGAAAATCTTTTCATAATATTAACAAACATTAAATTAATTTAAAATCATTATCTATTTTTTAATTATATTATTAAATCAACCACACCTATTAAATCAAAATAAGTTAATGACATTAATCTCATATTTTTCTTGCTTCTTATCCCTCAGCATTCTTATTTTTTTTTACATTGAGAAAAACTGACCCAGCCGCTTCCCAGCCCGCGGCGGAGCAGTTCTACAACAATCGGAGAGACAAGGAACACAGTGGAGTTTCAAGCTGTACACACGAACTCCATCCTTCACTGGAACCAATATAAATTATGCCATGGAAGCAGAATATAATCCTCCGCAGAGGGCATACAGGAGGTTGAACCTTCTAATTTGTATCAAGATTTTCATAGAAAATCTAAGGGTAAAGCAACTGATCGATCATAGACAACAGGGGTCTGTGAATTATTGCAATTACCAATCTGCCATGAAAGTACAAATATCGGCATACATAAAAAGCACACAGTATTACACGCTCACAGTAAGTAACAGATGATAAGCTCGTCAGCAACAGCCTCCAGCCCTTCTCTATGAAACAACTGACCTGAGCAAGAACAGGAAGCAATGTCGTTGAAGTCTAGAAGAGAATTGTGAGGGTTGGTTACAGCTTCAGGGCAATATAGGATTAGCCTATCCCTTCTCATCCACATTTGCTCACTCCACAAGAAACAATCCAAGCCTGCTAAGACAAAAAAAAAGGACCGTCAGTTGTAGAAATTTCTGGGTAGGAAAAGCACGTAAAATACCTCACAAGTCAGTAGCATCTAATTTCTCAACAGAAAACGCATGCTCTTCCATGCCTGCACAACCACAGACACTGTATATCGTCTTACAGGTTGTTACTTCGTTGTTCATGACAAATCGAAGATGTCTCTTTCATAACAGTCAAAAACTCCAGAATTTTATATTTTTATCTCAGTTCCTTTCTAACATAGAGCAAATTACTCAGTAAAGGAGGGTACCTGCATGTATTCTGACTCACTCCAGCTCAGAAACCTCCTCGGAATCAGACAATGGTAAGAGAGTGCATATTCCAAGAACATGTCCCTTGAGGCACACATAATATTCAATGCAGTCGTCATAGGCACCCAGTCTGCAGCTGGCACTCTGTGGAATCATTTCAGCTTGCTGCATGCTCCACAACTTCGCTTTGCAATAAGGACACACCTCGGTTGGGTGGAGCTGGGCCCCCCTTTTAATCAGCATTGTCCGGACCTTTGACATTGCGAATGACTTAAAAATTCCTCGGAAAAATCCTACATCCCCTTCATCCCCTTGGTCAAGATGTTCACAGGGGTCAGACACATACAATACATCTGTCCTGCACTGTGGCAAAAGAAAGCTCTTCCCTGACGTCCTGGAAAACCGAGTCCTATAAACAAAATGACCAGGAATGTGAACATTATTAAACAGGCCACCCCTGGTACATCCTGAGCAGTAAATAAGCAGCTTCCCAAGTGCCCTCCAATTCCCATCAACGCTGTGACTTCCACTGGACTGCAGATCAAGCATCATCTTTGGAGCCCTTGCTCGGCAAAATGCCTTCCACAATACTCGCTTGGCAAGATCATCAAACCATTTGCATACACACGACAGAGTAGCAATCAACTTAGGGTTCCAGTTCAGATGTTGAAACACTAAAAAAATCACATCTTCACTTAGATGCCCTTTTATGCATTGACAGCTGGAGGAGTGTACGCAACGATATTGCTTTGTCAAAATCATTGTCTCCACCTAGTAAGATATTAATATATGATAACAAAGATAATCAGTACTTGTTGTATATTCCTATCAAGATCAACACAGTTAAAAGTCAACAGATATAGCATTTGACGACCAAATTTGCCAAGTTGAAAACAAAGCTCAGGCTGATTTCTATTTGAGAAACAACTGTTTGACCGTGCAATTCAGGGGCATGAAGCTAAAGGAAGAAAATAGCACTGGAACACGGCAAAGTGAACCTGTAAAGACTAGATCCATATGTTGTTTATATGTATAATATAATAATAAGAAACGTATATTAAATACCTTTCATATCATGGTCATGGGAGTGAATACGGTTCACTTATGGAGTCATATATACCAACAAATTAACCATTCAAATCATCTATTCTCATTCAATAACAAGAATGAGTGCCAGCAATAATGATGTTAAGTCAAGAAAATTCATGAACTGTGATCTTAATGAATAAATCTACTATCTCCTGCTATAATTAATCTAGAAGTTAAACGGAAAAAAAAATGTAAAATTGAAAGCACACAGCATCATAATCTTCAACGGAACCACAAAAGATACAATAGCAACAAACTTTAGTTGAAAAACAAAAATCCTATCAAACAAAGTCCAACGTTAATCTATACGTGAGTACTAATAAAACCTTCTGAGCTACCTATGCATTTCTCAGTAAAAAATAACTCCAGCGCTTCTGTTCGAAAGTGCACATGCCTTAAACATGCATAACATTTTATAGAAATTTGCCACGGTACAAGTTGACACTTAATCCTAACCATTAAAAGCTTCAAAACTTGTTTAAGCTCCATCATCTCAAGCGTCACATAGCAAACTACAACAGAGATTTTCTCAATGCATGTGAGTTACCCTCCAAAGCTTAGATCCACAAGAACAATTTATCAAATTGCAAGCAACTTAAACCAAAAAAAATAAAAATAAAAATGCAATCACTTGATCTAAGAAAAACCCACTTCACATATTCACTTGATTATGCAAAAACAGCACTTGAGGTTGAAGAGCTAAAAAATACCCTAGCCCACATCAAAATCAAACAAGAAAAAGCAAAGAAGTTAAAAGTGGATAGGATCGTAATTAAAATCACATCAAAAACCCAAAATTTCCGACCTCAGCAAAACAAGTGTCCTCTTCTCATACCCTCAAAAACCCTAAAAAACCAAATTTACACCAAAAAAATGAAGCAAAGATTAGGCTTTTTGTGAAGCACTGGTTTAAAAAAAAACTTCACAAAAAAAAAAAAAGGAAACTATGACCACTTACACGCACATAAACACCTTGAGACGTATTTCGGTCCAAAGTGAGAAATAACGCAGTCCAGAGAGAGGACTTTGGAGAGTAAAGGAAATGCAGAGATTGGAGCGAGCGACAAATAGAGCAGACGGCTTTCTTGAGGCTGCACGCAGGAGAAGAAAATAGTTTTATATTTCTTGAACAGATACAGTTACGTGCTTATTTTTATTTTCAAATCAAAACCATTCATATTTCGCCACGCAAGAGTATAAAGAGCAAGTGGGTTCTGACAGTGGCTCATGTGTTAGTAGGTCATTGGTGGTTGTTTGGGAGAGAATGACAGTCAGGGGGATAAGTAGAACCCAGACTTATGGGGTATTTTTAAAATTTGAGGGAAATGAAATGCCAAGAGCACTACTACTATCCACAGGAGAAAGATTCTAAAGCCCCCACATTTGTCCACGTGTCAGTGTAGATTTTTCGCAGCATATTTTATTATTTGATCGATGATCACTGTCTGTGTGCCTCTTTGGCATCCTTTGATTGGGTATATTTCCACGTTTCAGATTCTGTTCGAGATTCTCTATGGTTGCTGTTTGAGCTGGTTTTTCATTTCCTTATTTTTCAAGTAATTTTTATTAAAAAAATATATTAAAAAATATTTTTTATTTTTTATTTTTAATATGATTATATTAAAACAATCTAAAATACAAAAACATTATTTTAAATATTAAAAATTTCAAATTTTAGACAAACATTATTTTGATCCCATGCAAAATTTTAATTAGAGACATTTAAAATTATATTTCATAAAATATTTTTAAAAAATTAAATTTTTTATAAAATTATTTTTTATTTTTTTATATCTAAATTGTAATATTTAAAAATTAAAGCTGGCCCTACTCACCGAAAAATAAAGCTCTTCTAATAACAATATATTCTATTAAAAAAACTCAAATTCAAAACTTTTTTTTAAGCAAAAAATCATTAAACTATTTAAATTAATTATTATTGAATTTGATGGTTTTTACATGGTGATATTAAAAATATTTTTTAATAATAATAATAATAATTATATTTTTAAATAAGTTATTAGTAAGTTATAAATGAATGTGGAAATTGATTGATATTATAGTGATGATGTTGCTGACAAAACATGCATGGATCTTGCTGACAACATTTGCACTTGTTTGACGGCTAAACATATTTGCAAGCATGATTTTGTGCGAACCCACCATGCATGATTTCATATGATGGATGGCTACGAAGTTGTTGATTAGAAACAATTTATTTATTTTAAATTTAATTTTAAATTCAATTCCTAATAAAGATGCATGATACTAGGTGGTGCTGTAATGTTGATGCACATAACATAACATTGATAATAAATACTTTAATTATTTGTTGAATGTCATAAGTAATGTGTTAGCCTGTTATTAGCTACTTAAGTAGAATCACTGGTATTTCTTAAACCAACATAATACTATTAGCATCCTCTCTTTTAATTTACCATGTTTATTATAGTTTTGATTTGTATATATTAAAAATAAATTTTACAAATAAAAAATTATCATTTTAATATATTTTAAAAATATTTTTAAAAAATAATTGTTATCACAATACCAAACTCATATAATATATATATAAAAAACACCATTTAAATAAAAAATTAAACGATAAATACACGTGTTTCAATATGAGAAAACCGCTAACTAATTAACACCTTGTTTGGAAATGACTTGCTGTTTTTGTTAAATTAAATTGTTATTTATATTTTTAAATTATTTTAACATGTTGATGTTAAAAATAATTTAAAAAATAAAAAATATTATTTAAATATATTTTTAAATAAAAAATATTTTAAAAATCAATCATTATTACAATACCAAGTATGCTTTAAAGATTCAACTTTCATGCTCTATACAACTTTAGTTTCTGTTAAGTAAGTAAAAAAAATAATAATTAATTTTTAACATTTTAGTTACTAAAATAATAGAAGTAATTGCATGTAGCCTGGTTGCATAAGAAATCAAGAGGCTATTACTTTGATATCAGTTAGGGTGTTAAGGTGACAACTACTGTAGAGGATCCAAGTTCTATTATCAACTTCTTCATAATCATGCATCTGAGATCTTAATCACCATTTTATTAATGGTCTATAGGTGACCATAATCATGAACATTTGTGGTGTTCTTGAAAAGTGTTTTTTTATGTTAAAATATATTAAATAAATTATTTTAAAATTATATTTTATTTTTAATAATCACATATTTCAAAATCATAAAAAAAATATTACAACACTTTTAAACATGTTAAGATAATGTTTGATATTACGATAATAATTGGTTTTTAAATTGTTTTTTGATTGGAAATATATTAAGATAATATTTTATTTATATTTTTAAAAATTTATTTTTGATGTCAAAACAATAAAAAAATATTAAAAAAATATTTTTTTATTAAAACACAGTCGGCTGCTTAAAAAAAATAGTATTGTATTTCAAAATCAGGGCAATATTGAAAAATTCATCCTCACATCATCAGTAAATGTTTCAGATAGTTTTTTAAAATATTTTTTATTTTAAAATATATATTTTTTTAATTTTTATATTAATATATCAAAACAATTTAAAAATATAAAAAATAAATTTTACTCAACGGACGTTAGTAACGCAGTACCAGGTGGGCGTTTCAAGAACAGTAAAAGCAAACCATTTTCATCGGCAGAAAATGGAGGCCCTGCCTGCTATCTGATAGGACAATAATAAAGACATGCAGCGGCGTCATCAGAAAGACATTTCTGAATGCCCGACTCAGTCAAGGGGAAGGGCTTTGGGGACACGGCCTTCTTCTTGCTCGATGAGTTGTGCTAAAGGCAGATGTGCCATGCCAACCACTTGCTGGAATTATGGGTGTACCAGCTGAAATGAGCACAGCATATATAACCAGGGCCCCATTTCATTATGTACTGGATCCTCATCACCCTGCCATTTAAATTGATATGAAGTAGAACACTCTCATTAATGAAAAATTCAAAAGAAATTTAAGAATAATGCAAATCAAAGACTGGTATTGAGCAGGATTTTATGAACATAGAAAATGTTGCAAAAGCACAGCAACGATCTTCCATGCTTGAAAAGGAGATTCAAGGATAATGCAAATCAACTGGTCGTCATGATGATTCGGGTTTGCGATTTCAACTATTCTAAGGCTGGCTAAAAGCAAGTCCACACAAGGGCAGCCAATTGCCAAAACTGGCACCGGAAGGTTCATAGACATTATCACTCCACAAAAGTATGGGAAAGCATCTGATCTGCCCTCTGTAAACACATCATAATAACAAATGGAAGCAACGGAGTAACGATGAATTCAATCACAGAGAAACATGAAATCCCACGAAATACGGATTAGATATCACATTTAACATGAGAAAGCTTAACACACATGATAAATTATGTAAGGATGAAAAATCATGTCATGCAGCTTTCTTTTGCAAGTCAAACTACACGAGGATACTTGTTTCATTCACAAATAGAATCCAATCATATACGGTACAAATTTGAAAAAAGAAGACGCATACACTCTGTATATTAGGCATGTCAAGATCAATACTCGTAGGACTTTCCAACCAATTCTATATCCAAGCAATCTAATGTCAACCGAAGCAATCATTTTTACACTTCCACGACTCATAAGCTTGTTAACCACACTTCTCAGTGCAAGCTTGGTTTTATTTTCCTACCAATCCTTTGAAAAACCAATGGACTGTTAATGACCAAGCATTCACTTAGACTTAATTGTTCTTTAGAAATTTTTTCTTATTTTTAGTTTAGCAGTCATTTCCAATTCAAGAAGCAGCATTTGCAGAGGGTTTGCCATCTTGCAGGGAGATTACCGTCTCGAAAGCACCCACCAAGGCCTTAACCTTACTTTTCCTTGTCTCTACAAGTTTACTTGCTGTTTCTTCTATGACATTATTAAACAGACCCTGCGCATCTTTCTTTCCATGAACATCTTGATGCCTCAAAACAAATTTTCCTGAATCATGTTTGCTGTCAATCACATCACCATCAGCTACTCTCCTCTTGAAGCTTCTTCGGCCATCAGCTTTGAGATTTTGGTTATCCCCCAACACTCTTCCTCGCCTGAACTTCAACCTCCTTGGACTATTATTCTCAGACAGAATATCAATCACCCTTCCCCTCCTGAATTGTAATTTCACAGGGTTGCCATCTTTGTCCTCAGAAAGAACCATCCCAGACTTTCTATTCCTCCCTCTGTGTTCTGCTTCCAAAGTATCTGTCTCTGCAATGCACTCGGTTTCATCGTATTCAGAGGAAGTGTCATCTTCTGCTTCTGTCACAGTATACTCAGATTCGTCTTCATCTTTTTCACTGTGGGACATGGAGGAGAGAGATTTTGGGAGGGATGGAGACTTTAGTGAAGACAGCAGAGGTGGTGATGCCTCAACAGAAACATTCTCATTGTGATCAGACTCCACATATTTGTCGTCAGCTTTCATCTTGATGACATACAACGTTTTCTCCTGGATCATGTCACCGTTGGATTCTTTAAGTTTGCCATGGGGTTGAACAGGATCGGTATTCTTATGGGAATTCTTGTTCTTGTGCTGCTTAGCATTAATTTCTTTAGTCTGAGGTGTAAGTTTCAAGCTCCTATTCTTCTTTGCATTCAGGCATGCAATTCTAATAGGAGAAGGTTTACTGGACAATGAAGCTCGTGGGGATGCTAGTCCTCTAGCAACACCACTGACTGATCTTCTAGGAGAAAATGAAGCCCTTGGGGATGCTTGTAAATTCTTTGCAACTGTTTTGGAGGTCCCTGTTCGCCGTTCGATCTTGATGTCACCATTTCTTCTGGCACCAAAAACTCTTGAAGCGTCAGGAGAAGATGATTTTGGATTCAAAGTACTAGCATATTTTGCAGATAATTTTACTTCTTTAGCTTTCGACAACACTTGTTTCATAGAGACCTCTGGTTTTTCACAAGATGATGCTAAATCCTGCTTAGAGATGCTTGGGGATGAATTGAACTCTGAATCCTTCTTCCTGCCAACAGCTGTTGTCTTTGTCTTCATCCGAATTTCACTTGACCCTGAACCTTGGCCGCCATCTGATTCAGTTGATGATTTGATTTTTGAATTCTCCTTCCTCCGCACAGCTGATGCCTTCTTCCTCATCCAAATCCCACTTGGCCCTGAACCTTGGCTGTCAGCTGATTTAGTCGACACTTCCTGTGTCAGTGTCATTTTCTTGAACAGAACTTCACTTGAAACTGGACTTTGGCCGTCAAATGATTTTGTCAGATGTAACCCAGTTGACGATTTTTTCTTCGCCAGAACTTCTCTTGAAACTGGACTTCGGCCATCAAATGATTTTGTCAGAGGTAACCCAGCTGATGATTGTTTCTTGGCCAGAACTTCTCTCGAAACTGGACTTTGGCCATCAAATGATTTTGTCAGAGGTAATCCAGCTGATGATTCTTTCTTGGCCAGAGCTTTTCTTAACATCGAACTTTGGCTGTCAAAAGACCTTGCTAATAAACCTGTTGGCGTCATCCTCTTAGTCAGGACTTCTTTGAACAGTGGAGTTTGGCGGACAACTGATTTGGTTGACACTTCTTGCTTGATGATATCAGGACTTTTAGCACTGGGGGATTTGGAATTGGGACTAGATTTGACCTTAACCACTGATGTACTGTAGTCCTCTGGCTGAGACAATGCCAAACTTTGGTCGTCTGGTAGTTTCTTTATAATCCTTCTTGGAAAGGAACACCTTGCCTTCTCTTCAAATGCATGTTTCCTCCCATATTTACAGAAATCATGGCATGAACCAGTAGAAGCTCGAAGATAATGGGGAAGAATCTCCTTGCTTGTATCTGACGAACTTGATTTTCCCATAGAATTTCTTTTGGAATTACCTCTATCTGCCTCATCTATTGTTGGGGTCACTGCTAGACTGATGCTCGGCTCAGCCATAAGATACACACGAGATGAGGAGAATGAAAGTATAGAAAACGCAACCCTGCCAACAAAGAACATCCAGTTATGATGGTATGGTTTGGATGCATTATCTAGAGAAAAAATATTCTGGTATTATCCAAAATCTTATTCTTATATTAAAACCAAGGAACAGAACTCACAAAAATCTAATCTGATATCATGCTGAGTGAAAAACTTTGGACTGGGGAAATCTCAATCTTCAACCTGGAAAGCAAACAACAATTCATTTATGTTTTGAGATCAATGTAAATTTCTTGTAAACCACAGAAAATGATATGAATATCCTACACGAATATTGAAACAATAAGGAGTAATATAATAATGATTTTACAAATGTCAAGAGAGATAAGCAGAAGAACCACGGACATATCACTTATTTTATTTTCTGGACTTTAAAGAATTCAAAAGCTCGAATACTACCAATTAACATGCTACAATTGGTTATGTTGGAATTGTTTTACATATCAGATACCAATGATGTAAAGAAATCGAAAGGGACAAGAAATCAACTTTGACACTGTTTTGAAGGATAGAATCTTTTCGAGGATTGGATCAGACAGAGTAATCAAGAACTTCCAAAGCTTAAAATGAGATAGCAGAGCACCACACAATCTCGTAATAGGCAAAACAATATAAATAAAGAACATAAACAAATAGATAAATGGAATCACTTTATTATCCAAGAATGAGAATTTTACACAAAATCAATCTAATTCAATTCTATGCTATTCCAAACATCGAAACCAAAATAAACCATCCACAGCACCGAAAGCATACTCGCATATGGATTATCTTATTCATTTAAACTAACTGACAACTGTTAAATACATTAAAACTGAGATCTTTCAATTTCTCAAACCTACTATAAACAATATTCTTCAACATGCTATTTTCATAGCCATACTAACTCTTTAACAAGGAGACGAAACAATATCAATATAACATGCATTACTATTCATTTCTTACCGCATACATTAACAAGAATGAGAATTACAATAAAAGCAATCAAACCATAACACACCAATCAAATCCAAATGAAGCTCTCAACCAACATATCACCAAAATCCTAAAAGTTCATGCCACCAAATTAAAAACAAAGACACAATCAAATAATTCACTGAACTAAGAAAGAAAAGAAAATAAAAAACCCTACATTAAAGCAGGATTTTTGTAACAGAAGACACAAATAAAAGAGAGAGAAAAAGAACAGAAACGCACCAAGAACAGGCTTTTTCTCAACAAACCCATGATCAAAACACCATTTCCAAAGGAACCCATTTTTGCAAAACAAAAACCCATCTCAAATTTGTCTAAAAAAAGGAACTTTAATATAGAAACAAAAGCAATACGAAAAGCTTAAATAAAGAAACGTAACAAAAAGGGAAGTTAGTTTTTTTTTACATACCTGTTGAGAGAGACTGTATATAAAACAAGGGAAATGCAAGTGAAATGAGAATTCGGTCAGTTTTATTTCTTTAATGATTTAGGGTTGAGAGATCATGCAAGCAACTATGTTTCGTTTTCAGGTTTTGGTATTTGGTACTGGTGGGCTAAGGCTTCTTCTCTCTGTCTGCAATATTCTGCGGTTGTTGCCATTATATTCCTACGTGTATATGAGAGAGAGAGAGAGAGAGAGAGAGAGAGAGATGAGTGTTGCACCATATTATAATTATTCTGCCTTCTGCCTTTTTCTTTTTGGGTTTTTATTTTACTTCTAGAACTAGCCGAAGTCAAAGATGGAGTTTTTGGGAGGATTTACTAACTTATTTTGGTGGTTAATTTGGAAAAATTATTGAATTTATTGTATCAATGGAAATTAGGTCTAAATTAATCACGTTTCTCATAATTAAAATGGAATTTAATATTGAAAACTGTTTTGAAAATAAAATATGATTTTTCAGATTACTTATAAATTAATAGGTTCTTGTGGTTTTATTTTTTAAGGTTTCGCCAACAAGTGTTTGTTCTTAGGTTATTATTATGAAATATATAAAACAAAAAAAATAGAAATATATTTGGTTGAAAAAAATACAGAAAAAATAAATAAATATGTTTTTAAAATAATTTTAAAATAAATTTTTATAAAAAATATACATTTTTATTTATTTTCATAGTTGTCTTAGTATTTGTTTTTCTCAACACAATAATTAAATGCTATTTTAATTCATTATTTTTTTAAGAAATTGATTGTTAATAACTCAATAATTTAAATTTAAAACGTTTGGAGCCGGTTACCAATTGTTTTTTCTTTTTAAAAAAGCATTGGGCTAGTAATTTACAAGTACATACAAATTTTGAAAATTGAATTTTCTTAATTGTTACCATATTTAATTAAAATTAATTACGACAACTAATATCTTAAAGAGTATTCTCAGGACACGCTTTAGTTTTTTCATTTTCTTTTTTTGGTGGAACCATTTAATTTTATCTTTCTTTTATTAAAGAAAAGAGGAGAATTATATATCCCTTCTTGGCGAACATTCACCTTTTTTTAAATAATTCTTAAAATAATTAATCTTTTTAAAGCATATTATATTTAATTCTCATTTTCGGATATTTTGCAATCTATTTTTATATTTTAGATAATAATAGTAAAATTTTCAAAGTTTGATACCTCTGTTTCTATGAGAATAGTATTGGACCATCATTTATGTAAATTTTTCTGTCATCTCTAATTTAAAGAATGCCCTTTTTCTATGATTGAGACTTTAATTTCTTTGAATTCAATTTATAGAAATTTTAAATTAATGAAGAAAAATTTAATTTATAGACTGTCCTTTTTCTTCATATTTTTATGGAAATTTATTACAATGCGCAAATAATGCCATTTAAAAAATTGAATTATCAAAATCATCTTTATTTTTTAAAAAGTTAAACAGATAAATTCAAAAGTTCAAAGAAAATTATGTTAGTCTTTTTTAAAAATTATGTGCTCATGTAATAAGTACTTTTGTTATTCCAATTTTTATATATATTCTTTTTTTAATATTTTATTAACATATACTAAAAATGGTTGGGATTTCACTGTAGCAAATTATAGCAATTAAAAGTGAATGTTGAGGGTTTGTTTTTTAATTCTCAAATTTTTTTATTTTTTTAATTTTAAATATTTTTTAGTTTTTTAACATTGAGTTGATTGATTGATGATTAAATTTAATATATTTTTTTATTTTTTTATATGATTATAAAAAATTTTATAACTTAGATAGTATATTTAACAAGTTAATCTAAATTGATTCAAATCAATTTAATATGTTATCATCTTGATTTTTTAGTCAAATTATATTTTTATTTATTATTCAGATTATTTTTAAATTTTTTAAGTTAATTAGATGATATCATATTAATCTCCATATAATTTTTAAAATTTTTTATTAAAAAATATGTCAACAATATCTTAATATATTTTTTTATTTAAAAAAATGATTTTCAACTTTGAGTTTTAAAAAATAATACCAACAAAGAGGTTTTCAGCCCTAATTTTGAAAAGGTTTTTAGAAAGAGAAAAAAGAGAGAGAAATCACATTTAGAGAAGAGAAACAACTTTGTAAAAAAATTATACAGATTTATATTTATTATATACAAAGGACAAACATGTTTCTTAATCTAATTTGATTTTTTTTTTAGTTAATCACATAAGCGAACTGTAATTTTTAATTATTAGATTAAAACCAAAAAAAATCAAAATATAAGAAAAGTGGGTTATTAATATTATAGAGACAATATTATGCACATAGAAGATTTAATTTTCCATATTAAAAAAATGGCAATCAACAGGCATTGGATAATCTACAGTTTATTTTGTGGTGGTCGGTTGTAAAGATATATTGTTGACTTTTTTAAATGGTTCCTTCCATCAGTGAATATCATTTCTTAATCACTTCTCAGGCTTGGATTCTGTGAGATATGCTTTTTTATTCTTTTTTTATTTTTTTTATTTTTATATGTAGGAAAGGATAGCTTCAAAGAAGCAGTGCCATGCCCATGTGGGCCATTGGCCAAATCACAAAATGATCAACTTCTGCTTTGGCTACCAAATGTTGGAAAAATGTGCTTAGGCATAGGTTGTTCTACCCATTTTTTTTTTAAATATTAATTTTATTTTTATTTTTAAAATAATTATTTTTACATTAACACAATAAATCAATTTAAAAGAACAAAAAATTAAATCTAAATAAACAAATTTAAAATTTAATGTAACGTGATTTGTGATTCTAAATGAAACCAAAGTTACATAGAAAAAATATAATACCGGAACAACTTTGTAGTTTTTGTGTTTTTATTGTGATTATTTTTTATTTTTTTAAAAGTGTTATTTAATATATTAAAATAATATTTTTAATAATTAGTTATTTTCAAAACTCTGATATATTTTAAAAAAACTAATTTAATTTAATAATTTAAATAGTTAATTATATATAATCTTATTTATATTATTCTCTAACAAAATTAATTAAACACAAACACTGCCTTGTAATATCAGTTTGGAATTTAAGATTACTTATTCGTGAAACCTACAGCCGTTTTGTACAGGAAGTAGTTAAGCCTAATTCCTATTTGTATACTGTGTGTCTTGTCGACGTCATCATTATATCAAGATTTGTGAAGATGCAGATAGAATGGTCTGGTTGTGATTATGATTATGGATGAATTGATCAGCAGAAATGGTGGGTGCACATATGATTTGGCTTGCATGAGAATTAAGATTTCATGATGGCAGGTATCCTATGCACCGTAAATTAATTATTCTACTTCTATAAAGTAAACATTAGGAGTTTGATATTTAGTTTAAACAGTATTTTATGAAAATTTAATTTAGTTTCTTTTAAAAAATTAAATTTTTTTTTAAGTTATTAGGTGAGATTACAGTATATAATTTATATTATTGTTTAATATATTTTTTTAAGTAAACTTGAAATTTATAAAGACTAATATTATATTAAGTTAATTTTTATTAAATAAATAAAGATTTTAAGATTTAAATATGTAATCACCTAGTTATTATGGTTCTGATATAATATAAAAGAACCAATATAATCTAAAAATTTAGATTATTAGATAAAGTTCTAATATATAATTTATATTATTTTTTTATAATTATGTCTAATATAATTTTTTTTTAAATAAAAAATATTATTTTATTTTATTTTTAGACAAAAAATATTTAAAAAATAATTATTATCAAACTTTCAAACTAGCCATGAACTTATAGCATCATCCTATTTCAATTAATGTAATATTGTCATTGCCATTGTAATCTCCCCTAATCAATCTACAATAAGTTCTAATTCATGCAATGTCTAGCTAATTCGGTGGCAGGTTTGTGGCTTGCTGCTGTTTCTCACGCTCAAAAAGAAAAGAAACAATAAAAATCTGCAGTGCTTTATGCCTGACATTTCACAGACTTAAAGGCTGGACAAATGGCTTTTCCAAGATAAAGGCCCTCGTAGCTAGCCTTACTTCGTGGGGAAAAGTAATGTTGCTTGAACGTTCTCTAAGAAGTGTAAAGTATGAAAAGAAGATGATTGCATCGGTCCATGGAGGCATGCCCTAAAGTTTCTGTCAAAGTCATGACCCAAATGGAAGAAAAAAGAGGAAAGAGACAATTGAGTAATAGTAAAAGTCACTTTGGATTCTCTCTAGCTCTCTCATGGTCCATGACACCCATGTTTTAACTTTCAAGATCTACCTAGCTAGCCAGCATCTTCTTTTATTGCTGCGGTGTTCATCTCGAAGACAAGTTACTCTCTGAATAGTTCTGTGCCCCACGAAAATGGAAAACAATTCTCTGTTTGTTTATACGTTTATCAATGAGTGGTTTGCACGAGCGTGTATACTCAAGCCTGCTGAGAACGAAATTTCAACACAGCTGGTGTGGTATAGTTTTTAGTTGAGGGGAAGGTGACCCTCCAACCAGAATATAGGTTTTCAAGTATTTATGATAAACAGCGATCCATTTCATATTTGATTTTCTGGTTGAACAAGTGCCAGGAATCCATGCACAAGAGTGGGCATTTCCTCTCCAGATCGAACCGGCACGATTTTGTTTTCAAAGTTGTTCATCGAGTCATCTTCCTTGAATGCTGGACCCATGGAAATATGTTGTTAGATGTTTATACTTAACATTCAACATGGTAAGTAGCCAGAACTTAGAAAACGGTTAATGGTTGTTTACGAACTTCAACCCTAGTAGGCCCAAGCTTTTAATATATAACCCCAAAAGTACGGTAGAAGGCCATTCAAGGCAAGGCAAGGCTATTAATTTTCAGGGACATGAAAGATTGATTCCCCGACAAGTAATTTCCACCTTTGCGGAAGATGCAAGTGATTGACACTCACGAAGCTTCTAAATGGATAACATATAAATGCTTAGGAGCTCCTTTCACTAGAAATGAAGGATAGAAACAGTGCGAACAGTCAAGTGCTAGGAAGATGCAAATTTTGTTCTTTAAGGAGGGAGTTTGCTTTCTTGGTTATTCCATGAACATTTGTCTCGGTAGGAAACTCATTCTCATCCTCAGAATTTCTTAATGATTAGGTAATTGATCATTTCTCAGTCATGTTATTGTCACTAACATGAAAAGATGCTAAGCCTGGTTCAGATTATCGAACCAGCCAACCTTCGCATTTTCTCTTGCAGTCAATTTAAATTTCACGTGTTTGGTAATATAGTGCGTGTTTTTTAATTAAAAATAAATGATGTTTGTTTAATTTTTTTTTTAATTTTTGATATTAATACATCAAAATATTTTAAAAACATCTTAAAAGGTATCAATTTAATGTTTTTTTTAAGTAAAAAATAAAAAACACACTCTAAAGAGCAAGTTATAACACAAAAACAAATACCTACCAGAGAGGAACCACAATCATTAACTGAGGAGACTTTTAGGAACTACTGTGACTACAATTTTTACTCATTGCTTAAATGGCAAGTTAAAGCTGTAGATAACAAATAGAACCTGTTTGATGGCGGCATAATCTGCTTTTAATAACGAAGTACTCGCCCAACAAGGCTATTTATACAATTGAACCTTTTGAATATCGTATCATTTAAAACATCTGCAAATAGGGACATCAAAACCATATATTTTATTACTCTATTAGGATTCTAGGACAGATGATTTATTGAGAACTTGATTTACATGTAAGTGAATTTAAGGTGGTGAAACTGACTGGCTAAATTTATGTTTCATGCAGTTTTCTTCCTGCCTGAGACAGTCTTCTTCACTGCTCCCACTGAGACTAAAAACTGATCAAGAGATGATAAGGTCTTCATGTCATCTGGTGGGAAGTAACTGGCTGCCTTGCCCATAATTGATGTAAACAGAAGAGAAAGTGAAGGCCGAGTAACATAACGCTCTCCCAAGAGGTCATCTAGGAATGCAAATGCAGCTAAAAATTCAGACCTGCCTGCGTTTATCGGAGCAGCAAAATGAGCAGGAATTATCCTCTTGAATTTCCAGTCTCGGACAATACTATCAATCCAATCCCTGACCTGCAGTATTAACAAGCACGAGAATGGTCAGATTTTAGAACAAAGCTGAACGTACTGAAAGTGAAAACACTTGTGCGGACTTTACTTGATCTGGTAGGTTGATAGTTCAAATGAATTTCATCATATGTTTATTCTTTGGTTGGATAGTACTAATCATGGTACACCATAACCAGACAGATGATGGTCTGTTGTTGTTCACTTTTTAGGCCTACAGAATCATCTTAGCCCAGCTATAAGAGCTCTAATATTGCATCATAGCCGTTTCTTTACCTTTTCGGGAACTTTGCTGAAGACCAAAGTCTTCACAATGGGTGAAACAATCAACTTTTGTGACATCTGAGCAAAGCTAGCATTAGGTTCCAATAGATTAGAAGGACCAAGAAACAAGATCTGGAGGACCATTCTTTCCCAACCTGCACCAAGAACTTGATTTCAATGTGATGCATACACACTCTCACCCTCAAAATTCATGCAACACCATATTCGGTTTCCCGTGTTGGAAGTGGGATTCAAATACTAACCTTTTTGCCGGCTCCTCTGGTTATCAACAACTGGTTCCTGAGGGACTTCCTTTCCTTTACTAAGAATTTTTACAGCCAAGCCATTCTTTGCTGATGCTAGCAAGGATTCTTTGCCAATACATTCAGGTGGCATTCTTGGTACAAAAATCACAGCATCTGTTACCAGTAGTGATCTTGAACGCTTGTGATAGAAAGCTACCTCGACATACGGTCCAATTCCTGAGATAATACACAACAAATTTGATCGAATCGTGATTCGTTAAATGAAGTTTAATTCATTGCATGTGCAATCTACATTACCAACTTCGGGCGAGCTTAGGACTTTTTGTTCAATCTCATCAGCCCAAGGGGTAGACATATCCTCATCCATCAAGGTTCTGGCACGAAAAATTCCAAAGAACTCAAGTGGCAAATTCAGGGGCCAGCTCCACTGCCTTGGTGCCACCCATATTTGGGCCCGTGGAAATTTTCTCGAAAATGGGCCAACAAAGATTTTATGTTCATAAGCAAATGTAGGCAGGACAATGTATTCGACTGGAGCTCCCAACTCCTTCAAAAGCTGGCAGAGTAAGACCACTCATCAAAATGTCGCCAATTTTGCTTAAGGGGATACATTAAATAACCAAATATATGACTATTAGACATAACTGACTTCCCTTCAGTTGTTTCTTATTTCCATCAAGCATGAAGACAATTTAATAGTGATAAATTCTGAGATTTTAGAAGCACATGTTGCCATTTTTCTTTTATTTTGAATTTTGAGGCAGGAAATAGAAGCACTTCCTTTCACAAGGATGTACTTTCCTACTGTCAAGAAATCAATGTCTTGACATGAACTAGCATCCAACAGCTGGTTTTCATGTAAAAGCAAACAAAGATCAGATCTCCTGCAACAGGCTCATCTGGAATAGAAGTGAGGACCAATAGCTATAATAATTTCGCACCTCCTACTTCCTACATATATCATATACAACTGTATAGTTGATAAAAAAAAATTATAACTTAAGGCAAGGGTAAGCCATTTTGGTTTGCTATGTACAAGTAAAAGTGGTTTTATTGGATAGTCCTAGAAAGACAGATCAGTTTTGCCCCTAATAGTGGGTAACCCAATACCAGACTTGAAGATGCAATCAATGGCACAAGGTTCTGTCCTTGAATGAACTTGCAATAATGAGCATAGAAAATAAAGTAACAAAAATACATTTTCCTGCGTTACAGAAACAAACTAAAATCCACATACACTCAAATCCTACGTGCAACAAAATAAGACTGACAGTATCTAGTTAAAGAGTAAAAAAAGGTACACAAGGTATAACCTGAATACACTCCTCTGTTGGAGCAATGGGTGCGTGGACCCATAATCCTCCAGATTTGAGTTTGATGACTGTCATTCGAATGTTTGTTGATACACTGCTGAAGCCTAATGCTTGTTCTTGTTCGAATAGCCATATACAACTCTTCACAGCCTAAGGCATAAAACAGAAGAAAAGGGGGTAACACATAGTGTAATGAACAGACCTTCTAGCTACAGCTCATACTAGCATACAAAAGAATTGTGTCTTTTACAATTTAAAGACATTTCTAGGAGACCTCATAGATCAAGAGTCCTTATATTTTTCTTAAGAAAACATTCAATATTGGGAAAACATATTAACTGAGAAGAAGTTTCCTATCTGCTCCTTCCACTTCACAAGTTTTTGTTAGTGTAAAAACTTGAACACAGCAAATATGAATAATAATAAAAAAAGCCCTATCATAATTTTTATCACAGACAGAACACCTGCTAGAATGATGCTTGACCTGATTAAAGTTAGCAATGTGTACAACAATGCAGCATGAAATATAAGCCCGTCATGCAAGCAAAAACATCAACCTCCACTCATTTGCACATCAACAATTGAAGAGCAGAAACCAGATTGTAATACAAACAGTGACATTATGATGTAATTTATCTCTCCTAACAGGTACGTAGAGTCTATAAGATGCCAAATACAAGAGACTGCGAGGGATAAAACCTGAAGATAGACAAGTTTGTAAATATGCATAGCAAAGGAAGATTAAGCATTATTCTTGATCAAAATCCTTAACAGCCAAGGTTATCGATCATCAAATTTTATTGAGGCCAAGTTGAAGATAAAGAAAGTTACCTCAGTCCTTATAGTGCGCCTATTAAGGAAAGGACCAAGAGGGAAAGGAAACCCAGTAAAGTTTAGATAAAACCTGCCGCCGCCGCCGCCGCCGCCGCTGCTAGTGCTAGTTGTGGTAGTGGTGTTACTTGCAGCAGCAACCACCAAGCTGAAGCTGTCTGGTCTCTTGTTTCTGGGTTTTAACTGAAAAGGAACACCCTTCAAGGACCCACCAAGAAAACTAGAACTTGAGTCTTTTAAAGTGGTTGGATTCTGTAGGACTCTGGATTTTGGGCAAGAAATGGTAATGGCTGCGACCATTTTTCTTGAAACGGTGTCAGATTTTACCAGAGCATAGATGTTTCAAAAGGTTGTGGGGGGTGTCCATAGCGTTAACAGAATCCAGAGTTGGAATTTCCCCCGCTATGTTTGCGACACGTGTTAGATTTTCCAACATGTAATTTTCTAGAAATTTATTGTGGGCGGGGAAAAAGGGGCAATGGAATGGAAATTATTGATTGATTTATAATATGTTTTTTTTTTAAATATTAAAATAAATTAATTTAAAATAAAAAATATATTTTTAAAACATAAAAACAAACAAAATATTAACTCCAAGAGAGGTGCCACGACCCCTAAAATCATAATTGAATTTATTGGCTAACAAGCTACATCAATGTCTAATTACAATTACAATCATATAAAAAAAAATAATAGAGTTTGCGATTTTTTTTTCTGGTCATTGAACTTTTCTTTGTAATTCGACCGCATCATTTTATGGTGGCTTGGTGTTTTATGAGTTGATAGTATAGTGATCCATTATTTTCATATCAATTTTAAATACTTCGTACAATTATTTTCATGTAATTTTCTTATTTATTTTATTATATTTTATACAAATTAATTTTTTTATATATCAAAGGTAATAATAGGTGTTTGATGATTTTTTTTCCTAGATTGCTAATATATGTTATATATCATTGTTTTTTGAGTTTAGTTTGGTTTCAAGTGTTTAAAGAATCGATTTTAGATTGAATTTTCATGTTTTTATTAGCTCATAATATATCTGTAATTTTAAAAGTTAAAATCTTATACATGTTTTTGATGACTCAAGATTATTTGTTAGTATTTTTAATTCAAACATGTTTATTTATGATAATATGGTATGTTAGGGCTAATAAAGCTTGATTTGCAGGGCTAAAATATATTTTCTAGATTTGACAGTATATACTAGGTTTTTTAAGCAACCTGGGTTTATGTTCTTCATGATAATCTAAAAAACATTATCTTGAGTGCTAATTGTAGGTTTCATTTTAATTTGATTTTCATTGTGGAAGGCTATGATCATGGTAAGGTGTCTATGGCTAATGACCCTCCTTGTCCAAAACTTAAAAATAAAATAAAGAAAGATAATTCGTGAGTTCACAATCTAGACTCTTCCCTCTTTTTAAAGGCTGATGATTCACGAGTTCATAACCTAGACTCTTCCCACTTCTCAAAGATGATCAATTCGATTATATTTCATCAAAACCAAACACAAACATTTTCTAAACATCTCAATAACATTAACAATAACATCAAAACAATATTAAGCAAACAATACACTATTTTAATTTATTAATCCACATAAATACTAAAACACAAAATAATGCCAAAAGTATTTTAAAAAAAATATTAAACATAAAAAAAAACATGAATGGGCAGGTCACATGAACTCCACTTTTAAGTTTTCACGTGATTATATTTATTTTTGCAAGTACGTATATTATCATTAGTAAATAATCTATGGTTTTCATGCATTAATAACATGTTTTTATGAGTTTTAATCTTAGGGTTTTGGTTTTGAATTAAGACCTATTTTTGATAAAAATCATGATGTTTGAATAATAATCAAAGCAAATGAATTTTTAATTCTTCATATATGCTTAATTGTGAATAAATCTTGCATTTTATTGCTTAAAATCTAGTCTGATTTGATGTTTATGTTGCTGATTTTAAGTTTGAATGTTCTTCATTATTATTTTGTGCTCTTTGTTTTCATTAGTATTCAATTTGTTTTTGTTAGACAATTTTATGCTTTCTTATGTTTTTTTTTTAGTTTTGTTTATTTTAGCTTAAATTTCTGTTTTGATTTAGTTTTGGGTTAAACCTTAGTTTTTGGTTTAGTTCATGGTTGAACTAGAGTTTTTGAATCGACTTGATTGGGTCAAAATTGAGTCAAATACTTAAGACTTTGTTTGGTTTGTCATTATTTTGACAAAAAAAGAATTTTGGCTTAAGGGCATGTTTGACAAAAATATTTTTACACTTGTTTTGACAATTTTATTTTGAATAAAAATATGGTATTATCAAACATGGCCCCAAAAAAATTTATTGTAAAAATCAAAAAATGATTTTTGTTTGTTGTATACGGCTCAATACTTATAAAAAAAAATTACATGTTATTTATAAAAAAGAGAGAGAAAAATTTTTAGGATGGTTTTAGAAAATACTTTTATTGATTTTCCTTTGTGTTTTTTTTTTTTAAAAATTTACAATAAGTTTGAAAAATTCTTTAACGATTTGGCCAATATTTAAATAACTCTAAAAATTTTAATTCATTAAAATTAATGTTCAACATCCTGATATAAATGCTATAAGTAGTTTGATATTTAAATAACTGAAGTTGACTAGAAAAATTTTTATAATTATTTTTGATATTCATCAATTTTAATTAGGAGTATTTTCATCATAATATACGAGTTTTGAAGAACTTTTTTGCCTTCTAGGATAGGTAAACTCTATTAGAATATCCACATAAACTCTTCCCATAAAAATTTATCTGGACATACGAGCTCATAATAAATTTTAAATATTATATTTATTTATGGAAGTAAATCTTTATTCTAAACCTTAAACAGACCACTGACTATAAATCTATCAAAACTTTTAAACTATATCTAGAACATATAATGTAGTTAACATCAGATAAGATGTTTTAAGGACGCTAATACTTTCCTCACCGAACTTTTATTTTTAGAATTTTAATAAGACATGCATCCAAGTCTTTTATTAATTCTAAATCAAATAACTAAATGGTGACTTGTTGATCTCCAATTTGTTGATCTCCAATTTTAAGTTTATTAAGGCATTTAGGATATTTATTAGATACTTGTAGATAGAAAAAAATAATAATAATGAGTTTTTTTGGATCCTATAAGTTTAACCTCCACTTTTTTAATTTCTAGCATTTGAAGTGGTCAAAATTCAACTAGTAAACGATGCTTCATTTGTTTCATTTACCATATATCAATTTTTTTTTGAAAAAATAAAAGTTGAACACAAAAAGTAAGAAAGGGAAGATAGTTAGACATATAAACCTAACCTTTTTTTATTTTGGGCAATAGTTGGCTCACCAAGCACAAGATGCATGGACATTTTTTATAAATTTTTTTTCTTCATAAATTCTAATTAAAATATTAGTCCATTAATCTCCGATTTCACGTTTAGCTTTTTCAACACCCGCTAAAAGCAAAACAACCGGCAAATCCAGGAAGTTCACTAAATGTTTCCACAAACAGCATTCACTCCACATTTGCATGGCATTTTTAAGACAACTTTGCATAACCAAGAGATGCATACTGCAGGTATTTCAGTAGCTACTCGATGACAACTGATTTAAAACTAAAACCCCATGTTCAACAGTTCCATTTCAGACCAAAGAGAACCAAGTTGCATACACGAACTAACATGATAGGTAAAAGAACCCGTCCTCTGCAAACAAAACTCAAGTCTGTTCAGAAGTAACATCCGGGAAATGAACAAGAACCTATTTCAATTGTATTCCCAGAAGAGCTTCAAATATATATAAAAAAGAATTCAATTTAAATAGTATTAAACACAGAAGATTAATATGAAACAACTCAGGTTTTTGTCGCTTTGTTTCAAAATCCATCATGACACAGAACCATAATAAAGATTCAATAAAACATCAGTCCCCATACAACCAAGAAATCAAGCTTTTGGGTGATAGCCCTCACTTGATTAATATTTCAGATACTTACAATAGCATTGCATATACCCAAAGAGACCATTTTTCACAGGACCATCATCACCAACAAACCTCCAGAAACAACATCCAGCCCTGACAAGCCAAATCCTACATTTACAGACAAGCTTCTAGCCAAGGATGATATAGGAATAGTGGGATTGAGGAGCCTCATACCCAAAGAATTAAAATAGTCTTGGAGACTGGATAGTCATTGAATAACCAAACTCGCGGCACCAAGATAGAGATGTGCCACTTTCTTGGAGCAAACTTCTATTCATAATGCTTGCAGACTACGACGCTAATTTGGATATCAAGTGATGATTTCTCTGACAAGCCAATCCAAACTAGGATAAGCAAAGTACAGAATGAGAAACGATGGGAGAGCAAACAAAACAGTGATAAGAATGTACAGGGCCAAAATGGCTGCACTGGCAGGTATTGCATATAAGATGATCAAAAGGAATATGATGACCAATGGGAACTTTGCTGTCAGATGAACAAAGAAAACCAGTGATTTCTGAAGAGAGGAATGTATTCTCCTCACATTGAGGTAACTGTTGACATGATTATGATCATGGTTTGCCTCTGATGGTTCAGCATGATGAACATATTGTCCCCTCCTGATGTTCCCACGGCTTGCCTGATTTCCAAGGACTAAATTACTGTCCGATGACCAGTGGGGTTGTTGATCTTCACAGAAGGTGCCATGAGACTTCTCTCTATCACCATTCTTGCTCTCAACCATCCAAAGAAGAAAATAATTCTTGCGAGGGAATTTGAGGTTCCCTCGATAAACAAGGCGGAACGATAACAGATTGCACCATGGACAAGAAATAAAGAGAGGAAGCTGAATTGGTAATGTAGGGAATTTCACAACAGCCCATTGAAGCCCTAGGATGCAATTTTTGCAAAGAGTATGGCCACACCATAAAACATATGGCACATTTTCAACAATGTTGAAGGATTCCCAGCATATCGGGCACTCTAGGCCTTCTTCTCTGCTTATAACAGAAGATGCCTCGTCGTCTGAGTATTCTGAAGGAACTTGAGTTGGCTTTAGAGAGTTGTTCAAACTAACATTTCCAGCTAGGCACTTGGATGCAAAATTCCACATTTTGATTGGAGACAAATGACTATGCAAACATCATCACTTTCAATGGTTGTAGAAGCTGAAACCTGCAAGTAACATTAACCATTAATTCACACTGGATTGTCTCCTCTTGCTAATAAATTTCCAAGTATTTCACTTGGCAGGAAAAATAAGAATTAGAAAGAGAATTAAACTAAATTCCATGTAATTTAGGCTGAGGTTCAGTTTAGCATCCATTTTCAATTTTTCACTGCAATCTAATTATGCATAATAGAGTAATCCAGCGTTTAATTCTGTATGTCAAAACAGAACATTTTCATTTCATCAGACTACACTATTATCTCCAAAAGGTGGAAAACTTAATAGAAAGAAGCAGGTTAAGATGATCAAGAAGGGTAATCCAAAATGAACAAATAAAAAGATGCCAAACAATCGACTTCATGGTGTCAGAGCCTCTAGCTATAATACCATCACTTGTAATACCAAATGCAAAGTAAAAAGAAAAGGCTAAATGACCCAACAATATAAGGGCATATTTTCCAATAACAAAATATCAGGATAGATTACTTGAGCAAACATGCTGACATTCATTATTTAACATTTAGACAAATAAATTTACTGGTTAAAGAACACTTGACGTTATTAGAGCAAGCTGCATCTTAAAAATGATTTGCATTCTCCACATGCAATGCTAGCCAGCTATGAGCTACAGTTAACAAGGCAGAAGTTTATACAAGAGATGGTGACACGATGATAAATACCAATAAATTGAACTAGATCCATATTTGCAAATTCTAATGCCAAACAGATCTACCCTAACCATGCCCTACACTTCTGATCTCTGCCTGACTGACAATATAACTGATAAACATATTAAGTTGTATCACAATGATGCAGTAACAACTAGCCGGGAAATTGGATCATAAACTTGTTTTCTGGCATGAGTAGAAAATACAAATTCTTATATTCCATCAGTGGTGCAAGGGATGCAAAAGTAGAGAGAGCTAATTCAATATGCGCGACAACTTTCTATCACACCTGTCCTTATTTTGCATCCAAGCTTGCTTATGGATGTTAACTTGAACGCATGTGTGCTTATGTGCAGTCACATACTCACAGGAACATCTCTTTTTGACCCAAGACCATGCATTTATTTCTGTTATCTTTACCAAAAAAACAATCCCATCAAATAATGATATTTACACTGAAATAATAGACTAATAATCTGAAATAAATCAAACACTCTCCCTTCAGAGACTCAAGCTCGACCTCAAAATCACCCAAATCAACTAAAACTAAAATCAACCAGTTAAAGATTGATGTGCTTAAACCAGTTACCACCAGAAAATCTCTCAATCAGATTCAAAAGCTGTACCAGAATTGTACTATTCCTTACAGAAACTGCAACGTTAACCATACAAACATTCTAAAGAAAAAACTAAAAACAGTCAATGATCATTACAAGAAATAAACTCTTGGATTTAAACAAAGAAAATTCATGAAAACAATCAAACAAGAAACCAGAAAATTCAATAACAAATAGTAGTTTGAGAGAAAACAATCAAAGCCCACTTCTTTTTTATTGTTAAAGAAACATTCCTAACAGTCTAACATACAAAAAAAAAAAAAAAACCGATCCATGAAAATCAAAGCTCGATTTGGTCCTATAATTATACAAAGCTAACAACTTTCAACACCAATCAGTAAAAAGAAAAAGAAAAGAAACAGTTCATGACATGGCCTTACCAGTTTATCAAGAAGGGGGTTTAACAGAGAACGATAAAAAATTAAGAGGGGTTCCCCTCCATGTCTCTCTCCCTCTGTTTTCGTCTAAGGATATGAAGCTATAGACAATTTCTTGGGGGGGCTTTTCGAAATTGTCTGGTCCAAGCGGCCGACATTGCTTGTCAGGATGGCCCATGCTGGTGGTCCTTTTAAAAGAGAATATGGTGCCTATTTTTGTAATTCCACATTGTAATTCATTAGTTTTTTTTCCTATTTAATTTTTTTATTAATACTTTATTTTATAATAAAAATAATAATTTATTATTTATTTATTTATTTTAAATTTATGATATTAAAAATTCAAATAATTTGATATAAATCTTGGTAATTTGTATCTAAAATAGTTAACTTTTTTCAATTTATACAATAATTATAATTTCACTAAGATAAAAACTAAGAATGTAAAGCTGAATTGTTACATATATACATACATATATCTATATTCTGAAATTGCAATATGTTCTGCTCTTACAATTAATATTAATATTATTATGTTTACAAAATCTTTGTTTTTTAATTTTATTTAGAGGAGTTTTTTTTTTAAATTTTTTTAATCTCATGAATAAATAAGTTATATGATGTTATTGAAAGCTTTATCTATGACCCTACTAATATTTGGTGAGATAATATTAGCATTATTATTCTTAATCTTTGTTTAATTTTTATGTAACTGGAATATATTAATTAACATTTATGAATAAAAACTTATTTTGGAATATATTAATTAACATTTATGAATAAAAACTTATTTAGAAACTATTTTTAATGTTAGTGCAATTTTCCAAAAGAAATGACGAAAATTTTATGAATTCATTCATTTAGATAAGTCAAAGGATACCCAAAAAAATAACCAAGCATATCCAATAATTGAAAGAAAAAAGTAACTAAGAGTTCAATCTAATAATTTAATTTGGATTTTAATATTTTTTGTTATTATCTATGGTTTGATAATCAAAATAAAATATGAATAAAATACTATATTAGTTAACGATGATTTATATTGTTTTTTTTATTATTGTAATAAAGATACAAAGTCATATTAAACATGTATAATCAAACAACATATTTTATAAAATAATTTTGTGAATCAAAAGAAAAAAAATATAACATAAACTTTAATTATCGGAATTCATTGGCATCCAAAATAGATTATAGATATGTTAACATAAAAATTAATTTGTTCTCCAAAACAATTCATTTTCATAGATTAAGAAGATTGATTGGCATCCTCTAAATGATCCAGAGCAAATAAAAAAATGGTACCCTTATTTATTTTAATATTTAAGTCATATAATTAGAAATTTTTATAGATTAAGAAGATCTTCCAGTTAAACCTTAATCTTTTACGAGATTTAACATATAGATATATAAATTAATTGGGATTATCTCTGAATCAAAAATAGAAAAGTGAAAAGAGAGTTAAGCTAGGAAGGAACATAAGAGTAAAAATAATAAAATTCAACCTAAATAAGGATTAAAGAGGAAGGAGATACGAAATTAGTGACTTTATGAACATTTAGATCTTGACCCGTGATTTTAGTTTGCAAGAAAGAAGAAAAAAAACTCATTTATCATCTTAAAAAACAATAGAAATCTCCGAATTAAAGTGGGTAAAAATTTTCTTTCTTAATCTAAAATTTTTTTAGGTAATATTAAGACTTAAAATAATCACCATAAAACTTTTTTTATTGAATAAAATCTAATAACACCAAGGTATTTTTTTTTATTGAAATTAATGTTGATCATGATTTGCTCACTTTTCGGTTCAAATCCAGGGTGACTTCCTCTCTATTTTTTATAACACAGGAACTAAAAAATAATGAAAATAAAGATTTATATTAAAAGTGAATTTAAAAAATCTATAGGGACCACAAATGTATAATTGGAAAAGTAAGAGGATGGGTTATGTTTTTTTACAAAACTTTAAAACCACCACTCATTTTCTTTGTTTTTTTCATTTTGATCCTCTATCTTTTTTTTCCTCCTTTAACTATTTTACTTAAATTGGCAAATTGACCCTTAATTTACTCTATAAAGGGTGAAATTAAAAAAAAAAAATAATAAAACAGAAAATAAAACCATAGTGAAAAGTAAGTTCACAACATTTTATGAGAAGCTTCATGATATAATTTTACACTGTGAATCTCTCATTTTTTTTTAGAATATTGTTAATAAATTAAAATTTTAGTAGCAATGTCTAATAAAATAAGGTGAGACTTATTGTTGTTGAGCATCCGAGAGTGAAAGGCTTCAATCTTAAGTTTAGCGTCTCTTTTAATTATCTGATTAGCAAGGCCATTAATTTGAATGGCTTCTTCAAGGGCATATATATGCTTTCGTAACAAAAGGATCAAAAGCATGCATGGCCAAATAATAAAAACTTTATCTCCCAGGACCATACTATTAGAGCCATTAAATACATAATTAATACCAAAATTGCCTAACTCTATGGTAGATTTAGCTAGGAAAGTGACATGTCTGATTAGCATCAATATGGTTCAAATATTCTGTAAAAATTAATTTCAAATTCATGAAGATCCATCCTTGCATGCATGCTTTGTTAATGATCTGATTGCAAGATCAGGATTTAATAATAATAATAATAATAATCTTAAATTACATTTTAAATAATCATTTTTTTAATTAAAAAAGTTATAAGGTGTTCAGTATTTTCATATCAAACCTCATATATTTTAAAATTTTATTTTGAACCCCTTTTTTGTTCAATATTTTTATTTTTAAAACCATAAAGTTTTTAAATTATATTTAGAACTATATTTTTAATTAATTGAACTTTCCCCAAGTATTACCCCATCTATCCCTCCAGTTTTCAATTTTATATTTTTTTTGGTGCACCCAAGCATATTAGATATATTTTATGCATAATAAGATTATATCCTTATCATAACCTAATTTTTAATCCTAATAAATTAAAAAATTAAACCAAAAAAATTATTTTTTTAAATTAAAAATTGAGAAATGAAGAAAATAAAAAAAATAAAAAAAGTTAAGGTGGAATTGAGAAGAAATTAAAAGAAAATGGCTGAAAAATGAATAGAAAAATAAACTAAGAAAAAAAAAATACTCCCTTAAATAGAAAACAATTTAGAAAAACATGATAATAAAGAAAAGGTAAATAAAATAGGAAAAAATAAAATTAATTAAGAAAAATATATATTTTCCTGAAAAAGCTTATAAATAAAAAAATTTAAAGATAAAATTGAGAAAAAATCTCTCAATCCAACTTTTTAAACTTAAAATTAGACGATATGGAATTGTCCTGGCATGCCACAGTTAAATTGACTAATTTAAAAGCAATATGACCGACCAGTAAAAATATTTTAAGGATAAAATTAATAAAAAAATAAAATCAACAAAAAAACATATTGACTTGACTTTTTATTTAACTTAAGTTTAAAATTAAATTATATAGAAGTTGTTTTTACATGATCTAGTTGATTTGGCTAACCCAAAAACAATCTTTAAACAAATATAAGTATGAAATTGAAAAAAAAGATGAAATTAAATAAAAATTAAGAATTAAATTGAAAAAAAAAAGAACAAGAAGAGGAGGAGGAGAAGCTTCACTGATTACATAAGGACTCAAGGTTTTTTTTTTTTTTTTTTTTCTGTATAGAAGTAATATTAGAACACATGTGTATCCATAGCTAATAAAAATTGAAAATGAATTAATAAAAACATAAAGGGAAGTTAATAAAAATTGGGAAAGATAATAATTAACTTTACATATTGAAAATGAATTAAAGTTATTAGTGTAGTCATTAAATTAATAAGAATTTAATAGTGTTTTAATCAAATATTTCAATACAAGTTCGTGCTTTTATAAATAGTAACAAATATTAATTTTGATGTAAATTAATGGGAAAAACCCTATCCTGAGAAACTCAAACCCCATCTAATTTACAAGAAAAATAAATAAATATAAAATTTGGATTTTTCATATTGTGTTAATTTGTTTTTAATAAACTAGGTTAGGTTTGAGTCTCTGATGTGAGAATATTTTCTAATAGATAGAAAAACAAACCAGAAGCAATTAAATTTGTAAAGAAAGATTAGAGAATATTGGTCATGAAATATAAGGAAAATTTTGAGCTAATTACCCGCTGATAAATCCACATACTTCGAACTCTTGAAGAAAGAATATTAGAATAGCACAAGCTCTTAAGCTGTGTATAGTCCTGATCTTACAATTTTCATGGAAGATTTAGTGTCTAAATCTTATTAAAGAAGGTAAAAGGCCAACCAAAATAGCAGCATCAATTGCATGTAATTTATTGGAAGTGGTCATGTGGCCTCAGCGACATGAACATTGCAGCACACAGCCGAAGACGGTTCTCCATGCTTACATTTACCATATCAGGAGTCGCTAGACCCCTCTTCCTAATCCTGTATCGTCGCCAAGCAAATTGTATGTTCACGGCTGCCCATGTTCGCCAATTGGACGAGTAATATCTCATTGTTCGCTTGAGTCTCTTGCTGGCAAATCGGTACCTGAAGTGTTCTGAGATATATCTCAGATCATATGCATCCAGAACAAATGCTTCTGTTGGTTCCATGCAAACAAAAGTTGCGGATGAGGCTGGGAGGCGGTCTATAAATGGGCGGCGAAGGCACCACGAGAGCAGCTCATCACCTAAAAAGCCTCCTGGCTCAAGCACACTTGTGGCTACCATGCCTTTGCTAAGGCATTGGCTGTATTTCACACGTCCGTGCACAATAAAAACCATCCTTAGCACAGGGTCTCCTTCTCTTAAAATCTGTTCTTGGGGGCAATAATATGTTCAACAACTTAATACAGTGTAACAGTTTAATTCTTTTTCTTGCAGAATTATGCATGCAGTATGGATTGTTGCATAGAAAATAAGCTAACAGAATGATTTTAACTTTATGATCATATCGAACC